AGATATGTGGATTGGAGTCGTCTGGCTCAGGACGAAGACCGGTGGCGGGCCCTTGTAAACTCGATACTGAAACTTTGGCTTCTTGTACATGCAGGGAATTTCTTGGCTAGCAGAGCGTTTATAAGCTTCTGAAGGACTTTGCTACATGATGTTAGATATCGCAGGAATTGTAGTTATGTCGTCTGTACGCACTGGAATTGGTTTTCTTCAAAATCGTTCTGTAACTAAGGAGGCGGCGTCTATGCCAATGCCTAATCATATTTGTAGGAGTGGAATATGGTCACCATTTACAGCATTTTTTGTCCGAAGAGAGTGATCATTGAAGGTGGAGATGGTGTTGCTGGAAATGACCTAGGCTAGGATGGGCGAGTGCACTTGGGCTCTGGCACCCACTTTATGATTCTAGGAGGTGCAAATTAAAATGAGACGAGTGCTCCGACTGTTATATTGGGCAAATAGGACACTCGCTAGTTCCACAGTGCCGATTGCTTTAAGACGTGAGGTTGAAATGATGACGCCATTCCCCCCCTCATGATCATTTACGCATGCGCATCACTAATCTGACGTCATCATAGTTGATATTTTGACGCGATTAGTAACTGCAGAATTGTTAGACGGAAATTTCTGAAATTTGATATGGAAGTTATGCGATAGGTGACTACTCCATATTCACCCTTTATGTTTTCCTGCACTCGTTAATCCGGGCATGATGGTTGAAATCGTGAGGTGGAATGGCGATCCACTACACTTTTTGGAAGCCTTCAATAATGGAAAAAATCGAGGGGAGTAGGATAGTACTGATGGAAGTTACCTTCTCAAAGTAATAAAGGTGGGACATTATGTCTTGCAAAGTTAATGACGTCTTTGAAAATCTCATCATGCAATGAAATACTGATTCGATCCAATCTACATGTATTTTTATTGTTTTTGACACGGAAGCACTTTTTAAAATGTTTTCTTACATAATTATTTTATGTATATTGGTATTTATTACATCTGTAAACATTAGATATTCCAAAAATAAACATATAGCTATAATATATTTTATATAGAGTTACCTGTACACACTGTTGCTACTTTTCTGCCATTACTTAAAATTAAACCTCAGAATGACTACTCTCAACTTAGCAATAAAGGAATAATTTATTCCTGTTGTCTGTTTAGAGCAGTTTGATTTCTTTCTGCCTCAGTACAACTGAACTATTGTATACTCTTCAGTTTAATGAAAGATCCGAAACTAGAAACATAATTAGATGTGACTCCATTATATTGCAGAGATGTAAAATACAAGGGAGATGTGATTTATGCTAGGTGATAAGAAGACAGTATATGAATTTTGTTTCATTTAATTCATAGAAGAAAGTAGTAACGTGAAACTCAAAGATAGATTTTAGATTAAATGTTGAAGTCCTTTGTAAATTCTTATTTTCTTTTAAAACAAAACAATATTTATTAGTGAGACAAATTAGTGTAGGAACCTGAATCAGAAAATGTGAAATGTCGAAGATTCATAATATTAAATTACTGTTGCTGGTGACATTAGAATCAGGCTAAAATGTGTGGATTGTTAGAAGTTTGCTAAAAGACAATGTATAGGTCTAGGCTCTCTCCACAATGATTATCTGTCTTAATCTACTACTTGCATGAAGTACAGATATTACAAAAGTATACTAATAGAATTAATTGACTGATTGGGACCATATTTGTCATAGGTAAAAAAAGAGTTTGAGTAGTGGAGAATTCTAGAATTATTCTTGTGCAGAATTGTAATGATGGCTACACAACATTTTGCAAATTGTGTAGATTTTAAACCTTTAACATCTCTTGTCAAAAACTCAGTCCTTAAACAGTACTTTATCATGTATGATCTGAAGCTTTCACAGTGACTAAGTATAATGAATTTTTCTTGGGCTACCGGCTGTGTGAGGTGGTTAAATCACCTGATACAGCTGATAGCCTGAGAAGAATTCATTGTATGAAATTAAGTTGTATAATATTATTACCTGATATTTATTAATATCAGCTAATGACACATTTTTGAAACCCATTTTTTGTTCTTTGTAAGTTTTCTAGGACTACTTTTAAAATTCTGACACATTGATATGATATATACTTTACAGCAGTCAAAATGAGCCCAAATTTCATATTATAATAATATTCAGACATTATAGTATGTGAGGTTTGATTTAAATATGTGATTTATCAGACTTATACATATATACATACATTCATACTGATACATTTTTCAGGCATACACTCATTGTACATATTAATTCTTTTAAATTTTATACAGGTGCAATCAGAAAGGACATTTGGATAAATGTACAATGATGAGAAGTTTAAGGATAATATATTCTATGGAGAATGTTCTGAGAACTCACCAGCTGTTACTTCTGTTGACTAGTTTACATTCAGTGGTGCAACATGTAAATTTATGATAGGAATGTAGAATTCATCACTTTTAGTTTAGAATCTGAATAACTGATAATACACTGAAATTGATATTATATAATTTTCTATTTAACACAAAGTTCTGCCCTAAGGTTTTTGTGGCAGTTTAATGTATAACCTTGGCTTTCAGGACAAGCCATGTTGAATATTGAAGACATTCCAATGTTTTGACAAACAGTGCAGCGGGATTCAGTAAGCCTGATCTATAAGATTTCCTTGCCCCTCAAAATACATTTACTATGAAGATAGCAACTGCTGTGTTTACCAAAATGTTGAAAAACTTTTGACATTTGATATGGCTTGTCCCCAAAAGCTGAAGCTAATACAAAGTCCTGTGTTTTGGGGCCTGATTGGAGTCCTTACTCTCTGAGTTTTCCATTTTATATTTTCATTCAATCCAAAAGTAGGTCATAACAGTAATGAAACTTTAGGCTCCATAAAAGGTGAGGAATTTGACTAACTGAGTGACTGTTAGCTTCACAAGAAGGACTCTGCTCTGTGTTGTTAGCCAGTGTCTTAGAAGAATGATTATAGTATTGTTATGTAATTTAAAGTTGAATTCAGGACATTTCATCTGACATCTGTAAGATGATAAATTTTCAGTTGAATTAGAGGAATTTTTGATTCATACTGTTAGGTTTTAAACTTTCTTTAATGTATTTTGAAATTTAAGGTCATTCACTGGATTAAAAATTGATCTTCCTGCTTCAGTGAGTCTTCAACATACAGTCTTAATGTGTGACTATGCACAGGTGCCTGCATAAATTAGCCCAGAAGATTATGGCACAGTCATTGTTGCATTCTTAATTCTTTTCTGAATATATACATATGATTTTAATCCTCTTAGGTTATATTTATAGACTAGCATTCTTGCCATATTTATAATTTTGACATATGGTCTGAAACCATATGTAATTTTGAGTTCAGGTTTACTTGCTCGATAAAAGATGTTTGTTCTTTTAAAAATCCTTTTTGATTCACGTTTCTTAGAATATTCTGTACATATGGTCATAATTTCTTAGAGAATGTGAGTATGCTTCAAAGTGAACAACAGCTGTGGGATGGGTTTAACAACAATAACATTTAGAACATTGACACTCAGGAACATTTTTGTCACAGACTTAGAAAGCTGAATGGAATGACTAGTAAATACAGTTTTTTATTTCTTTTCGTAGGGATGCACCAATTGTTGTGTTAATTTTTATTGCAACTGGTTAAATGTTTGGCAGGCTTCTTTTTTCAAACATCATTATTGATTTGCAATGTCCGTGAAATACACTTGTTCAAGATGTGTTATTTGTCCCTGTTCAATGGCGGGAATAATATTATTTCAAAACAAGATAAAGTAGGATTTAGGAATCAGGGACATTAAGATGCTACAAGTATACTAGTCTTTAAGAAGAGGTATTACTTCATTAGATTCAATTGTTTACTTTTTAAATATTTTATTAATTTATGTTTTAGATGGAAATGGATCACCAAGTTGTATAAATATTAATTTACATGTATGAACTGTTAATTAAGTAAATTGTACACACATTTAGATTTTTATATTAATTATCTTGTAATATTAACGTGGAGCTGCATTAACAAATTATTTTAATTTACATTAATACTTGTGAAAAGGTTTTGCATTATGCTATTTTGGTGAGAGCTCAGTCTTTCTAGATCCAAGTAGAATGTAATTTTTTAATTTCTAGTTCCAATTGTAGTCTCTGTTTGTCCTACAGTGCCAGACAAACCTGACATACTGTTAATGCTTGTTAAGTATGTTCCTATACATTTGATTGTGCAATTTATGTTTTTCTTCAAATTATTATTATCATCATTATGTTATTTAATTATACTACTGTATCGACTGAAATGTTGTGCATTGTCTTTTGAAATGATAAGATGAAAAATGGTGAATGGGAAAATATTTGGGAAAAAGAGGTAATGATCTGTTTTAAGGTATTATTCTGGTATTCTCCCAGAATTACTGAAAAAAAAGAAGTCCTTAGTTAAAATAACCACATCCCCATGCAGGGTTAGAACTGGCTAACCACCAAACACAAATTAAAGTCATCTGCTGCTTTGTCTGGGACTCCAGTAAATTAGATTTTACACGATTGTTGTTACACCACATGATGCATCCCTATGTTAGTGACATATCTAAGAGAGGATTTTTTAAAAAGATTTTAGGACTTGCTAATATATATTTTTGGTATACTGAATGCATTAAGAAATTGACATATTGAGGCGGAATCATTGTGACAGTTCACTGTTACAGACTAGCTGAAGGACGTTTGTTTGTTAGCTATACACAGATTATTTGATTATGTATTTCTTCTTGGAGTAAATTTATATGTGCTGTCCTAAAGAAGTAGAAGCCAGTAGCTTCAAAATTAAATAGTCAAAAGTTATATTTTAAGAGAAAATAATTATAATATATGTATAGAATTAGAGAATTTATTCTATATGGAAGAAATTGTATTGTTTAATACTTTTTTGTTATGACTGAATTTTAAAAGATGACAACATTGAACTATAATATTTATTTTGTTCAGTCTAACACTGTGTTGAGAGATATTCTATACAGATTTAAGTTACCTATGTAATTGGCAGTTCATTTACAACTATTTTATTTACAATATGTCAGTCAGAGTTGAATATTTTGTTGGAGATTGACTCCAGGTGGGATATAAACTGTGACATGGGTCAGAATTATGCGCTGCTGTGTTTCATTCACTAAGGCAGTGACAAGAATTCCAACCATGTGGTCCCAGTAGAGGTATAAAAAAATATAATGTAATTTGAAAACTTGAAGAGCACAACCAGACAATTAGAAATTATATCTAAACACTGGTCACAAACTTCGTGTTGGGTTTGTGTGAATTCTATGTGTTTTTACAAAAAATACATCTATATAATCTTTAGACCTCAAAACCTTGAAAATATTTTGAAATAACACTCTGCTTGCCCTTGTAGCTACTTTCAAATGACAGCAATAGCAGCATGATTTTCAAAATATCTCAGTGATTTGTTATATCTATTTGGACAGAGTTTCCAGCCACATATCGGAGACGATGCTTGTATTAAAGGAGCCTAGTTCTGGAGAAAAGACAAACTTCTCAAATTTACCAAGCATATATGTTTTGTATATAAATAAAGCTTTTCACCCTCATGTGGTTTACAGATTTAAGTACAAATTACCTCTTCAAAGGTTAGTTGTTTAAAACTTGGGGCTGAATTTACTTAATTTAACTTAGCCTATGAAAGTACAGTTGTTAAACATCTATCATCCAGGACTTGCCAACCAAACACCATCTGTTCAGTAATACTCCAGATTGCAACAGTAGTGTCAGGAATTAATAGGAGTAACAAATTATCCTATTGAACTAAATGTAATGGAAAATGTGAAAAATTAATTAAAACTTATTTTTATTGTTTACAGCTGTTTTGTGTTTTTTCAAATGCTGTAAAATGGAAGCTTTGTCTTCTACAGTAATGATTTTCAGTATTTACATTGCAGTTAGTCCCTTCCATTTCAGCAAAAATGCATCTATCTGATTATACCGTTATTGTGTCAGACAAAAAGTTTAAAATATTCTTCTTCCAAATAAAGCCTTTATGCTCTCACAGTTAACTTTGTAGCCTAATAAAAGTATATCTATATAAATATCTTTTTCCTCTTCTATTTAAATACTGTTTACATGAATGTGTCTTGTAACATCACCTCCATTAATAGTGCATTTAAAAGGTTTTCTTTTCTGCAACTTTTATGTTTGAATATTAAGTATACATTCTGTCATGTATGATCTAAAAAGAGACGTGTGCCTAAGGAATGATATAGCGAACAATTTTGAAATTGGAAATCTTGAATTTAAAATTGTTTTTGTTCTTACATTTTCCCATCATTAACCTGATTGTTATGTTTAATAGCATTAGTGGTTGTACAATGAGAATAAAAATAAATATCCTATGTGAGCCCGAAGTTACATATTACATTGACGCTCAAATTAAGGAAATTGGATCAGTATTGGCTAACACACAGGACAGCGAGTTGTTTTTATTTAGTGGATAGTCTATTATTTTCTTCAGTGGGGATTGTCATTTTACTCAGTTTTACAAAACTGGGTATGATATTTCTGTTAGTGGATCCTAGAACTCAGTGTTCTAGGATTTTTACACAAACACACACACACACACACACACAAATATATCAAGTTCTGTCCTCAGTTCATAAATACAGTACCCTATATATTACACAGCTTTGAGGAGAATATGAACAGTGGACTGCAGAACATGTAACTAAAATGGTTGAGTGTTTTGAATATCGAGTTAATGTTGAATTGCCTGTCTCAAATATTGCCAGAATGTTAATTATGGTATTAATATAGCTTACTCATCCAATTTCGTCTTATGTCTGATAACGGTATTATCACTGTCATGCATAAATTCATAATATGCAATGCTAATGGATCACAAAGATACCTAAAATGCAAACAAATAAGTCTGTCATCCTCTTACAGTTTGAGAGAAATGATATTGTAAGATTTGAGGTTTTCACAGCTGTGAGTATGTAGATTTCTGTCTTCTGGGTTGTTGCGCCGTGTAGTGTGGTAGATGTTAACCAACGTTTCAGAGGTCATATACTGCCTCCATCATCAGGGCGATTCATCGACCAGACTACACAGCGCAACAACCCAGAAGACAGAAATATTCAGAAAAGATATTTTATGATACTGTCAAAAATATTATGTTAATTTTATGTTGGAACATATCTCCAGGGGCATAGATACAGGACTGCAAACTGTTGAATAAAAAACCATAAGAAGTCTTCTGTTATAGATGGGTATTTCTAGCTAATTTTGGAGGTATCACATAAAATAAGCTTGGATCGAGTATTGATTGGATAGTAAATCACATCATAGAAGAGTTAAAAGTGCTGGACTAGTAATTAAACAATTTCAGACTATGTCAGTGTTAGTCTTCTGGGTTGCGGTTTTGCATAGACTTGTCGATAGGTACCAATTTTTTGAGAATGCCATTACATCCCAGAAGACCAACATCACGTTCTTTGCTCCTGTTTGAACTTCAAATCTCATACAACTTCAGACTAATGTAATTTCTTTCTCTTCACAAGGAAGTGTGTAAGTGGCTGCAGTACTAGTGAGCCATATTCTTCAAATTGAACCAGTAACTTGGATATGATGACTACCTCTTTGTAGCTTGAGATCATTTTATTTATAATATGTACATTTAAATGGATGGTATAATTTTAGCATTACAGTTGACTATGATGATGACTCATCTAAATTATACATTTCAACAAGGGAGGACAGTCTGTGATGCCAATTTATAAATTGATATCTGCTTCTGTAAGCATTTAATCAACCGTGTTGATTATATGACTTCAGTTATTCATAAATTCTATTGTGGTTTTAAAATAATTTTCTGCGGCTTCAAATCTTCACGAACGTCAAACTTTTGTAAACATGTTTATTTTACACCCATGATTGTAATAGCTACTTCAAAATTAATTTTCGTCTAGGTACAGTATCTATTTTGTGTGTTTCTTGATTATATTATTAATTCACTGTTATATTTTGCACAAGCACCAGTAGTTCTGCCTACTGCGTTCTTTGACTTACTTTCAAATGCAGTAATTGTATCGACATAACTACAATCTTTTCTGAGTGCCAAACACAAATGTTCTTCATAGGGAGTTTCATAAAAAATGTGAGTACTTGGGAATGTACAACCGTCCATATATATATTCGTTTTTTATTATTATGTACGGAAGTTTTATAAAATAATCTCTCTCTCATACGCATATCACAAAAGCTTGAAATCACCATCAAAATGTCAACAGAATTTTCTTGACATCCCACCTGGAAAAGGGCTTGCTGTTGTTTTATCATATATATCAGATAAGAAGAATTTAGCTAACACACATCCTATATATATATATATATATATATATATATATATATATATATATATATATATATATATATATATATATATCCTGAAGATCATGGAAATGTTGCCGTTGCAGCTGATAATGAAAACGAAATTTACACTTGGGAATTATTTAATGAGTAAGTGGAATGTTGTTAGTTGTATGGCCACTGTGATCACATGAAGTTGGACATGTAAAGATTTGCTATTTTGGTGTCATCTTCATTGTTGCATCTCATTCAACAATGCTAGCTTTTAGGTTGAAAAAGATTATCCACAGCTGATTTCCCATGTTTCTTATCAGAGTTGGTTCAGAACCTAAGTACATTTAAACACCTTGTGCACCATATTCCGCAAGATTAGAGGAGTGTCATCGTAGGTGCTGCATTCATTGCTGACTCACAGAAACTGTTCTCATTGTTGTCGAGTGGTGGAGTTGGCATTGATGACTGGTCGGATGCAAATGATGCTGGTGACGGTTGTCCACTGCTGTGGGATGTGACACTGTCACCGTCCCCACCAAGGGCGGCTGCATAGGGCAAGACTTCACCTCTCATCTCACAGATGACATTCGTGAGGGCCATAACATAGTTTTTTGCAAGGGTGAGTGTCTCAATTTTTGATAGGCGTCGTTCTTTTTTCACATGAGGGATAACTTCTCGTAGGGACTGGAAAAAAAGAATAGAAGTAATTCTTCTTTTTTTAGTGTTTTGACTGACGTGAACAGCTCGCATTTATTTACATACAAGGGCCAGACAAATTAGCACCACAGAAGTATTAGTGATGAAGATTCGATTATTGGAACAAATCTTCTAATAATCAGAGAATGAGATAGAAGCATAATATTAAAATGAATCGTAAAGAAATATTGTGTGAGAGTACGGACTAGATCCATATGGTTAATAAAGAATTTTTGGGTTCTATGAAACATGGCTGCTTTCTTTTCTAGATGAGCTTCTTAAAAAGTACTGCTGATGGAGCTAGTTGTGAGGTTGCAACCTCAGTAACTGTCAATAATATGAAATTAATTTATTTATAATTTAAGAAAAGTGTTTTATATGGTGTAAAACATCTCTGGCATGTTTTTCGATACAGGACTTGTGCATTTTGCATTAGTGAAACCTTTATTACCTTGAGGAAGAGATGTTTGCTAAGATGACCCTTTAGCAACTACGTACCTGGAACGCGTCGTTGAGGCTGTGCATCCTCATTCTCTCTCTCTCGTTGCTCTCGAGGCGTCTCAGATTCCTCTCTTTGGCACTGAGTACTGGTTTTCTTCTTCTGGACGAGGCCCCAGCTCCAACTGAACTTGGCACTGATAGGTACTGGTTTGAGTTGGCAGAGACGTTCTGCAGTCGCCGGGAACTTCTCGTGATATACGCTGTCGTGTCGTCGCTCACCTGTACACATTTTAAAGTGACAGGCAGGGTTTGAATTTGTAATAATACAGGCGAGAAAAGTGGTGTCGTGATTAATGGCGTTTCTATGCATGCTCGTTATGATGACCAGGTCTGTACGTGTCTATTGCGCACTACTTTCCACAGAATCTTTGGAATGAAAATATAAACAAGTTTTAAGAGCTTGTAGAAAGAATGGGGAGGACCTCCTATTAGTTCCTGTGTTTTATTTCCGGAACTACGTAACATATTTCGAAGAGATTTCGTGTTTCGAAATCTTCACCAAAAGTTGTTGGGATAATTTAATTTTAATCTGTGTCGGTTCAGCGCAGTTATTTTACACAAAATTCAGATCGAAGTCGAAAATTTCCTCAAAACGACTTGTCCTACAAAGATATTGTGGTCATTCGTATCGTAAAATGTAGACAGTGTCGACATCTACAAATTTTTTGGCATCTTGAACATTTTCGGTTTGGTGTACCCATATTTGAATAAGTACGCTACAACGAAAAATAATATGTGTATTATGAGTAGTTTTACAAATATGGGTCTGTCGATAATTTATATGCAATGAGTGAACATCAAACCCAGTGATGTACGAGAACCCGCAAGGAATTCATGTGGAAAATACGAATATTCTGTAAAAGTGCAATATTAGACTTTTGTTTTATTTACATTAAGATTTCAGGGCGATGAGTCTCAGTGTTAGCTTGTGAAAAACTTATTTCCTCTGTGCATGATATGACGCCTTGTGGACAGGATCGTGACCCTAGATTCAACGGCACACTCGTGAAAGATTTTAGCGAAATTGTGTATTGGAAATTCTTAACGAAAAGGAAGTTTAATGTCACTTTACTGCAGTTTTATTCAACCATGGCTACCACTTTACAAGAATATCTAATTGACAGTGTGCATATTAATTAAATAAAAAACGTTTCGGAAACATGAGAAGGATAATATTTTCATTAAACAGGATACTTTGTGTTCTAACCGACATTCGAATCGGTAACCTCTCATATATAAACGAGACGTTCAGCTATCCGTGCAATCTGCTTTTTTAAAGCTAAAATAGTATTTTTAAGTTTTCGTCCTGAAACGTTTCAGTTTTAGCCAGCCTTCAGCTATCGGTAGCTATTTGTGTTCATTTCTATGCCCTTTTCGACCCAGCCGTTATCCGCGATCCACAGTTAGAGAGATCTGATGTAACAAACTCGTGCACTTCACTGAAGTACTTTGATGCCCATTGTAAAAGGATCCAGCACTTTGATGTTCCACATAAAAGGACCTGTCTCTTTTAAATTATAATACGTAAGCCTGGTGTTCAACATTTCGCTTGTTTAGTTGAGAGAAACTAATACCTCGCCTTTGAATTTTTATAACTCTGTATCAATTAGTATCAAATATTTATCAGAAATTGGATTTAGAATTTTTGTAATTTTTTAAACAACCATGTATTTTAAGCAGGTTAATACTATATCGAATTCTGTTAACTAACTCTATGGAGCAGAGTAATTCTTGAGAAGATAATACACGTTCAGCTAGTCAAGAAATTCCCCAAGTTATTTAATATGTTGGTGTCATTGTTATTATATGAAATATTGTAGCCCAGGTAGTTAAAATAAGTAACTTCTTCTATGGTTGCGTTATCAATAATAATTTTAAAAGCTATTAATTTTGTTTTGATAATTAATATTTTTAAGCAGAGTACTTCGTAGATGATATACTCAGTTTACGTACTGCCTCCTGTAAATTGTTGTCTGAATCTGATGTCACAATCTGGTCGTCGGCAAATAGCAAAGTATTGGCTATGAAATTGTTTATTAGAAAATTTAAACTTAATTTCATTTACCATTCTTGGACAATTTCGTCCATATAAATATTAAAATCCACGAAACTAATTTTGACGTGAAGATGAATGTCTTCTGGAATGTTGCGCATTGTAGTCTGGTAGAAGTTTACCGACGTTTCAGAGGTGTTTATTGTGCCCATCATTAGGGCAGTTAATTAGCTAGCTGGCGATAACTTATTCCCAAGTCCAAACATGGTATATTTACACGGTGCAGTCTGTGCTTCAGTTCTGAATGTGGTGTTTAACGTTGTAGTTTCAAGGCACTATTAAATACACTATCGCTGAAACGTAAGTCTCTGCTCTCTGGTACAGAGCACTCACAAAGCCAGGAAACGTATTCTGTAATACGGGAGAAAATTATAATGGTGTCGTTATTAAAGGAGATCGCATGTAACATACGGGACCTGTCGCTTGTGTATCTTGACGAAGCTTGTCTGTTCTTCACTAAATCCTTTGGGTTAATACCGATCAGATGCAGCTGATTGATACATTATTTAACGGCAGTATAAATTACCCAAAAATCATCCTCATTGCCCTGATGATGGAGACAGCAAACACCTCCGAGACGTAAACTTGCGTTTACAACTTCTGTGCTCCTTGCTTCCCTGCAATCACATTCTTTCATTCAACCTTCAGTGAATGACGACTGTATTTTTTTATTCTGAACCTCGAAGATTAACGGATTTTCAAAATGTAGCGGTTTAAGAGATGGAATTACAGAATCGCATACAAAACCGGTTCAACGATGAATCCTAGGGATCTGTCAGAGAATCCCTGAGAGATTAAGTGAACTTCAGCACTCAAGTCACTACAAATTAGTTGCTGTAGGTTAATTGCGGAACCTGGAATTAGAAATAAATGCGTTTGAAGCCTCGGCATCGCTACATTGCAATTAAGATAACTATCAAATCCAAAGCCGCAGTTCCAACCTACAGGTCGTAATACCTGGAACCACGTTTGAAATTGTAGTGCATTACGAGGTCATTCCCTGGCAGAAACACGCATAACTGCATTATAACCTAACACAATGTGTGTTATTTCTGACACGTTAATGGTTATGGTATTAAGTGGGTTAACGCAGTGGTTATATTTCGCATTCATTATATATCTGGGAGTTTTCGTTCTATCGGAACTCCGTACGTATACCAAATAGGATATTAATATTTCAAATACGTCAACGCTAGAATCTGTTCAATGACATTAGAAAAGCTCGGACCTGATGTATTTCAGAATCTTAATTTTCCTTAAACCTGAGTGTGCAAGTTACTCACGGAGGAGGAGTCCGTGAGGTCGAGTTCTGGCGAGACGTTGGAAACGCGTCTGGATCTGCGCCCGGAGCGACTCCTCCTGCCGCCAGAATACGGCTCGTCAGACCCCTCGTTCTGCTCCCAGCATCCTCCTAGCTCCGTGGCGTCGCTGCTGGTTGCCATAGCGGCCGCCGCCGCCGAACCTTCTGCGGGTTCCGAGCGCATCGTCGAGATTTTACCTGAAACACGGAAATTAACTTGAGACTAAACTACAAGAAAGTTAGTGTTTCAACCGAGCTAGTGGTCTGTGTGCGTGGAGCGAGTTATGCGTCTAGCAAGTGTCTTGTGGGATGTTGCGCCTTGTAGTCTCATATAAATTGACCGACTTTCTGAGGTGACATCAGTTGTTGGTGGAGGAAGTAATCACATCTGAAACGTCGGTCAATTTTTACGAGACTACATAGCGCATCATCCAATAAGACAGCCATTTCATACTCGCCGCGTGAAAACCTGAAATCTCTCAGGGGTTTGCTCTCTTCGTCAGGGTCCGAAGAACTAGGGCGACTGCTGTTATAGGACGGGAAGCAAGAAAAGAACACAGAATTTGGTTGGGATATTTATGACAGAAGTCACGCCACGTGCCAATAAGAAGGTAGCAATTCATTCGGAACGCTAAATATGAATGAATTCGTGAAGTTGGAATAAATCGTGGTGTAATCCTTAAGTTGAAAGGGGCTATATTCTGGCTGTGTCTATTACCTTGAGTGATTTTTAAATGTAGACTTTTGTAGAGATAACTTAAATTCAAGAGTTGCCGTTGAAGTCGTGAAATAGATTTAAATCTGAAATAATCAGCAATATTTATACAACTTCTCTTTACCAGATATTATTAAGTGAGATTGGTGGGGTATGTGAAGCGAATATGAAGGGATAGGGGTAGCTGGAAGACGTGCACGTTGATGGTAGGATAATATTAAAGTGGGTATTAAACCAATATGACAGGAGAGTGTAACATGGCTCAGGATGGATACTGTTAGCAGTCTCTTGTGAACATGTGTTCATGAAATACGTAAATTTCTAACGAACCGACTGACTACGAGTTTCTCAAGGACTCTGCTCCACGGAGTTTTAGTTAGTAAGGCAACACCCGAAATAAACCTACGACAGTGAGAAATGAAATGTCCCATAGAACGCATTTCGGGTATATATTTAAATTCTTATTCATGTAGAGCTGATAGCGAAAGCAGGACAGGACTGAAGAGACATACGTGTGCAAAATGTCTTCAAAACCTTAGGGTAATCTGTTTAGCCTAAAGAATATTCATTGCCATGGTGACGTGTTGACAGCAAATTGGTTATGGCTGTTAATTAGCCTTGTTTAAGTTTCAAACATGGCGCGACGTACATGGTGCCTTGTGTACTAATTAACGGAAGTGGAAGGGCGGCTGTTTAAACCCTCTGACACTTGTTTGTTTGAA